AAGCTCACTCTCCCACTGCAGACAGGATGGGTGTCTGTGCAGAGCCACGGCTGGGGCAGGGCGTGGGGGGCAGAGCCGCTCACCTGGATCTGAATGTCCTTGGAATTGATCACTTCCACAATGCCCACTACATTGTCAAACACGAGGCCGAACTTCTTACAGTTGTCTAGGGAAACAAACAGAAATGGCTCTACGAAACCCGCACGGTGCGTTCACACAGAACAGCTCACCACAGTAACAGCAGAGCCCCCGTTCTGTCCTACCGATCGTAATGGAATTGATCTTCCCTCTTATCTGGAGAGTCGATTTGTCACATTTGAAAATGTAAGCCACTTGTTTCAGTTCAGCGTCTGAAATCACAAGGTCATTCCTGTCCTCTTGGTACTCCTACAATGACAAGAGATATAAACGTATTTCAAACACTAAATATTAGGATATAAGGATAAAATGAATCCACTGCAGACCGAAATTACAGTGGAGTTCAGTATAAATTGTAGCTCTTCTTTATTTCTTCCTTTTTTTGCTTTTTTCCAGAGAGATTTTTGCTATAGGGTGTGTGTGCTTGCTGGAGAGACAGAGACAGAGAGACAGAAAGCAAGAAATCACCCCCCCCCCTTGGGGGGGACGGCCACACCACAGTCCCTTCTCCTCCACTCTTATTGAAATTTTGGGCATGCACACACATGTACCCAGTGTGTTTCAAGCTGCCAGGTCTGGGATTCAAACTGCTGACAGCCATGTAGGAGTCTAGCAATGTAACCATTATGCCGTCTGCTGGGTCCCAAATTGTAGCTTTTCACTATGTTTCTTTCAGAACCACTTGCTCACTAAATCAAGATCTTACCTTGTAGAACTGATGGGAATGGATGGAACTGCTGTGTGAAGGGGGTTTGGTGTCAATTTGCAAACCATCAGGCATCAGGCACCCTGGCTAGTGGGAGGGGTGGAGCGGGGACGTGTGTGCTGTTGAGACATCCATGCTAAGTCTGGCCTTGATGCTGTCGCAAAATCTGCCCTGTCAAATAGGAGCTGGGCAAACAGGTGGGCAAGGTCACCATAGGGGTCTGTGCCCCAGGGAATTCTCAGATCATGACAGCCTTTCTATGGACCTTGGTCCTTGATCTTAGGGGTGTCCCTCTGCATTGGCAGGGGACAGTGTCTTTACCCTGCCCACACGCTCAGCCTTGAACATGGTGAGTGGCAGCAGGAGCATCGGCACCTCCGTCTGCAGGACTGAATGCAACATCCTCGGGCAGGTCATTTCCATGTGTTCGTGGTCGCTCTCACTGCCTTAAGTTTATGGGAGAAGGAGTCAAATTCCCAGATTCCTGGGTTCCTAGAATGCAGAATGGTGCTTGCTAGGAGTTGGAGGGAGAGGAATAGGTGTTTTTTTCTTTCTTTAAGATTTTCTTTCTTTTTTAGGTTTTTGCCACAGGGTGCGTGCGCTGTTTAATGGGTACAGAGTTTTAGTTCTGCAAGATGGAAAGAGCTCTGAGGCAGGGTGGTGGCGATGGTGGCATAGCAACAGGAATGTAACTCATGCTCCCAAACTGCGGGTGGAAGATGGATCATTGTAAATTTTATGTTGTGCGCATTTTATCACAATTTAAAAAGAACAGCAAAAAGTGAAAGAATAACGCATGAGAAATAATGGGGGAAAATGGCTTATAGAAGTACTCTGAAATGTCTTGGTTTCTATTCTGGCCAGCGGCTTTTGCCTCTGTCACTTAGAACCCTTAAGACCTTGGTAAATGGCGAGCCGTTGGTCCTTTCAGTGAGCGTGCCAGCAATAAAGGAGAGGGGCCCGCACTCACCACTCTCCATTTCTTTCCTTCCAACTCGAACACAGGCGCGTGTCTCGGAGCGGGATGAGATTTGGGAGGCGTGGGACTCGGAGTGTGGCTTTTGGTTGGAGATGGGGCTTGTCCTTGAGCCCGCAGGCTGGGATTCTTGTACGTCTTCTGGTCATCAGTGACATGCCGCAGCCCTAGGATGGCAGCACACGAGACACGGCTCTGTGTACTGTATGCATTGCTTAGATCGACAGGAGGTACTGTGCACAGGAATTCTCGTAAGGTGGGGCTGGCAGGTAGCACAGTGGTTAGGGCGCTGGACACCCCCCCACACACACACTCCCATGGCCAACTGCGGTTCAAGTCCCAGACTTGGCAGCTTGCTTTATTACTTTCTCTTTCTCGCTCTCTGGTCAAATTAAACATGATAATAATAAATAAAATAACTAAATAATTTTAAAAAAGAAGGATTCTGGTAATGTTATTTCATCACAGTGTAGTGCTCAAGGTTAAAGTGTAGAGTCTAAGTCCTGTATAAGGTTAGCCTGATAGAAGCACTGTAAATATTTAACTTGTGGGACTTCTTCATTAAAGAGAGAAGAGAATGGGACCAGCAGATGGTGTAGCAGTTATACTGTTGGACTCCCACATGGCCAACCGCAGCTTCAGTCCTGGACCCAGTGGCTTCAAACTCATGCTGGGGCCATGTGCATGTGTGCCCAAGATCCTGGGAGGAGAATGGAGGAAAAGGGATCTCAGCGTGGCTCTCTCCTCTGGGGGTGGGAGGAGGGTGTATTTCTTGCTTTCTGTCTCTCTATCTCTCTGGCAAGCACATATACCCTATAGCAAAAAAATCTTTCTGAAAATAGAGATAAGATAATGAGTAAAAATTCTGCAAAATACAAACCACTTCATCTAAAAGGATGACATGGCTTACCTCTTCTCTCAAGGCTAAACCACCCTCCAGATAGATGCCCAGAAGGTTAGGGCGTTCCAGAACCTATGTATCAGAATAGGAACTGGACTGCAGGGCTAGGAGTCCATTCTCTTACTTTGCAAATGAGGTCTAGAGAGGGTAGCAGAGCCAGTAGGTCCCAGTGAAAAATCTGGAATGTGGGTTCTTAGCTTCCAGCCCGGTAAGAGCAGGCATGAATGTGAATGCCTGTCACCCGTGCACAGCGGAAGTCCATTTCCACGGCATCCTAACGTGACTGTGTTTGGAGTGTGTGCGCTCCGATCCTGATAGAACATAAATGGCGGATGGTTTTTTTTAACGGACCCTCCAACATGAGGACAAAAGCAGCGCAGTGCTATGACAGTCTTCAGAAAGTTCACGGAAGTTGCATAGTACAGAAGTGCATGGTACGAAAAAAGCACGCACAGATTTCAAAGTTTGTTTGCACCTAAATAAACTCATGCTTTAATTCCATTTTCCCATGGACTTTCTAAAGTCTCCTCATACAGTTCTTATTTATTTATGTTTTCTTTGAGAGATTTTTGCTATAGGATGCACACACTTGCCTGAGAGACAGAAAGCAAGACATCATCCCCCTCCCCCATACACACACACACAGGGGTGGGGGATGGCCACACTGCAATCCCTTCTCCTCCATTCTCCTCTCGGGATTTTCGGTACACATGCACATGTGCCTGGCTTTTCAAGCTGTCTGAGACTTGAACCACAGTGGGCCATGTAGGAGTCCAGTGCCTTAACCACTACGCCACTGGCTGGCTCCCCTCATATAGTTCTTTGATAAGCCTGTGCAGTGCTGGAGGACAGAGGTGCTGTTGTTTGACACGTTTTTATGTGATCTAGATGGCTTCGTTGTAGGGGATGATGCAGAAGCGTCAGGGGCGAGGCAGTGGGGTGCACTGGTCCACTTAGAACCCAGAGTCTGCGTTCTTCCTTCTGGTCTGTGCAGTGGCCCACGGAACAGTCAGGCTGGGGACGGAGAGCCCTGCTCCTGCGTTCCCAGCAGCAGCTCCCTCTCCCGGTGTGCCAGGGGCAGGGATGGAACTTGTGTCTCTCACAGGACCTCGGGGGCTCTGTGTGCCCAGAGCCAGAGGGGAAGGGAGACAGCCTCGAGGTCGCGTTCTCTCACCTTTCGTGATTGCTTCTCCCTGGTTGAGCTGGGCAAACAGCGCAGAGCGAGATGGAGAGGACTCCTCTTTTCTGCCTTCATTCTCAAAAAGTGGAGGTGGTCCTGGAGGAGGTGGTGGAGGAGGGGGTGGAGGAAGGCCAGGCCCAGAGGACAGGATGGAGAATGCTGATGCCGTGGACGCCACAGGGCCCTGTGGGGACAGGAAATGGAGAGCGCTGTGCTGAGACCAAGGTTCTGGCTGGGATAACGCCGGTGTCTCCGAAGCTGTGGCCATGGAGAGGCCGGGCTCTGAGAGGGCACGCTGTGTATCCGGGGTCTGATGGGGTGGACCTAGACTAAGGGGGACCAGCCTTGGGAGCAGAGCATGACTAAGCGGGGTGTCCTGTCGGGACAGGAGACCATGCCAGGTCAGAGGCAGACAGAGCCACATTTGTAGTTAGTGTCCGAGGCTTGGACAGGAAGGAAACTGCCACTGGTCAATTTAAAATCATGAGAAAAAAAACGGATCTAGGCCTGGCAGGTGGCGTAGTGGTTAAGGGCACTGTACTCCCACATGGCCAACCATGGTTTGAGTCCCGGACATGGCGACTTGCTTTTTCACTTTCTTTCTCTCTCTCTCTGTCCCTCTCTGGTCAAATTTAAATAAATAAATAGTTAAAGAAAAAAAAAAAAAGGAAAGAAAGGAAAAAAATAACAATCTAACCGATATGAGGGTTAGGACTCTGGGAACAGCAACCACCAACAAGAGAGACAGCAAAAGAAGAAAACAGTTCAGTGGTTAGTAGGTATTTCTGAACCTTTTTGAGCACCTAAAGAGAGACAGTCTGAAATTCTCTGGAACTCATTTTCCAAATATGCCTGCCTCAAACTGAGCCCACCGTGCACGCCTGGATACTTGTCAAACCTGAAGGCCTCGGCATCCAGGGCCCACCCGAGGGCTGACTGAACACTGTTAGTGGACCAATGGAAAGCCAGATCCTCTCCGAACAAGATCTGTGCTTATTCTTATTTCCTCTGCTATGTGAAGAGCCTTCGATTTCCACGTGAAAGTCTAACAAATTCAAAGGGCAGTATAAGTTTGATAGACAAGACATGGTTGGTTTTAATGTCTGGGAAGGACTTCACAGACAATGATCTCATAGAGCTTAAAACTAGTAAGAGAGAGGGGCCGGCAGGTGGCATGGTGGTTAAGGGCACTGGACTCCCACATGGCCAACTATGGATCGAGTCCCAGACCTGACAGCTTGCTTTTTCACTTTCCCTCTCTCTCTCTCTCTCACACTTTATCCCTCTCTGGTCAAATTAAAATAAATAAAGTTAAATAAGATTGAAAAAAAAAAAACTAGTAGGAGAGAAACACACCTAAAATGTCTCATGCCTACAGGTGAGAAGGATTTATAATCTCTAATAAGTAAAAAATAAACTAATACAACAGTCATGAAACACAAAGTTGATGATGAAATGTGGTTTAGGCACTGATTTTCCTAAAACAAATACAAAGGGTAAAACTATTTTTACAAAGGAGGTGGCATGGTGGTTAAGGTGCTGGACTCCCACATGGCCAACTGTGGTTTGAGTCCCAGACCTGGTGACTTGAAAATTATGCTAGGTGCATGTGTGTGTGTGCCCAAAATCCAGAGAAGAGAATGGAAGAGAAGGAATTGCCGTGTGGCCATCTCTTCAGGGGGTGATTTCTCATTTTCCTTCTCTCTGTCTCTCTCCTCCAAGTGCATGCACCCTATGGGGGGAAAAAAAAACTTAACAAAAGAAAACAAAAACCTTTACCTATGTGCTAAACTTTTTACAAATCAGAATATCCTTTTTCTCATAAACAACTCAGAAGTGTCATGATCAGGATGTTTTTTCAACTAAAAACATTTTTTAGCTGGAAAAAAAAAAAAACAAGCTATTTTCAAAGTACTTACATAATACCCATTAAGTGTAGAATTACTCTGAAAGTAAGAGCTTCTTCCTTTATTCAGAACGAATGGCTTACAAACTCAGGAAGCTAGAGGTCTTGCCTCATGAGGACAGAATTCGCAGTGGGTTTTTGTTTCTAAGGAAGACCAGCCTGACTCCATCGAGATTCTCAGGTCAAGTAGGAAATGATTTCACAGTCTCTTAAACCTTCTCTATTATGCTACACGGGCGAAATTTGAGAATGTGCTCTGAGTCACACAGAGCACATAATACAAGCTTTGCACATCGGCAGTGTCGCAGCCCTCGGCTACGGACGCGGAGAACCTCCAAGTATTCCCTTTATTCGCAAGCACGCAGTAACTCATAGAGTCGGTGAAGGGCCGACCTCCCCGGCCTCTCAAACACTGCAGCTTTATAGTTCTCCTGTTCCTTAGAAAGGGGAGACGATCCTGGCTTCTAAATCTCAAAATGATTTAGATGGTTCCCCCGCTCTCAGAATTCAGAGTTGCTCTCCAAGAGCCATTAAAGGACACTGAGACTAGAAAGCCCCAGATTCAACTTCGTGAAACTCTGATACATTCAGACGGCTGATCCAGGAACACCAGACAAAGGATTTACTGCAACGAATATTGAAAATACAAGCCCGCATTACCGGGACTGAGGACCACTTGAAACTCTGCCTTGCACTTCCCCTTTGTAGGGCCTGGCTGGCTCCTGTATCAGCCCCATCAGAACACAATACCAGGCTCTGGTTTCCACGGTTACTTTTCAGTTTGCTCTGGGGGCTTTCCTGTGCAGTAGACTCTGCATCACACCCATCAGGCGTCCCCTTCACGGGAGCTCACGGTCAGTCCCTGGCAGAGTAATCCCTTTGCCTCCTTCTCTTGTCTTTCTGTCGGATATGGCAGATGACGACACCAGAGCTCTCCCTGCATTCTTGTCTGTGTCTGCCCAGGGTGGAGCCATGCTGGAATCACAGCCTCACACTAAAAAGCACAGGGGAGGAACCAGCAGATGGCGTAATGGTTACAACGCTGGACTCCCAGGTAGTCGACCACGGTTCGAGTCCCAGACACAGTGGCTTAAAACTCACGCTGGGCACATGTGCATGCATCCCCCAAATCTGAGAGGAGAATGGAGGAGAAGGGATTGCGGTGTGGCCATCCCCTATGAGGGGTGATTTCTCCCTCTATCTCTTTCTAGAGAGCTCAGTACCCTATAGCAAAAATCTCTCTAAAAAACAAAAACAAAAACAAGGGGGCAGACGATCAGGGAGTGGGAGGAGCCAAGGACTGTGGCAAGTCTGGTAGGTGTCAGGCCCCGGTTACTTTTGTTCACTTAACAGACAGTTAATGCTCGGCCCAGGACAGGGGTTCTGCTCTATTCATTTAACAGACAGTTAATGCTCAGCACAGGACAGGGGTTCTGCTCAGGGGTTAATGGTCTGTGGCAGGGGTTTTCGAACTCATCTGAATATTAGAAGCATCTGGGGATCTGGGTCAGCAGCTGGTGTGGTGGTTAAGGCACTGGATCCCACATGGGAGACTCTGCAGTTTGAGTCCTGGATCTGGTGGCTTGGAAAAATCATGCTGGGTGCATATGTGTGCATGGCCAAAATCCCGAGGGGAAAGTGGAGGAGAAGGGAGTGCAGTCTGGTCAACTCCCGCAGGGGGTGATTTCTCGCTTTCTGTCTCTCTGGTGAGTACATGCACCCTATAAGCAAAAATCTCCAAAAAAAAAAAAAAGTTGAAATCCATTGCATATATATTTTTTTGTAACATGCATTTTCATGAACCTGTTGAAAACCCTCATACAGAAGGGTAGTTCCCATGGGACCAGCAGATGGTGTAACAGTTATGTCACTAGACTCCCATATAGTCTACTGTGGTTCGAGCCCCAAACCCAGCAGCTTAAAACTCATGCCAGGCATGTGTGTGTGTGTGCCCAAATCCCAAGAGGAGAATAGAGAAGAAGGAATTGTGGTGTGGCTAATCCTCCTTGGGGGGGGGGTCATTTCTCATTTTGTCTTTCTGTCTCTGTATAGGCACACTCCCTATAGCAAAAGTCTCTCTAAAAAACAAACAAACAAACAAAACAAGAGAAGAGGATAGCTCCCAGGTGGGCAAAATTCTCTGGGCGGTATAGAGAGCCAGGGCTGAGAAAAGCCCCTGAACGAGCAGAAGTAACAGTCCCTGCCCCAGGCAGGGTAACGAGGCGCAGGGTCTCCCTCTCTTTACCGCTGAAGTCCTAAGGAACTGCAGCATAGCCCACAGACGAATGCTTCTCCGAACAGAGGCCACCTGTTTCTATCCACACACGCACCACGAAGCAAAGGCATCTACTGAGACACGCTGTCTAGTGCAAACTGTCTGACACTCTGACTTCTTGTCCTTCCCAAAGAAGGCTTTCTTTAGTAACGACCTCTTTTATAGTATGTCTCCCCCTAAGCTGCTTTCGTTTTATTTCCCCGGTGTAGAATCAAACACCTGAGAGCTTGGGGCATAGAGAGACGGTCATGCAGCCCTGTGACATGCACAAGGTCACACAGGTGGGAGGTGACCCTGGGGACAGAATGTTGGTATCCTGCCACAGAAACCCTGAAGGAGAAAGACTTCACTTTAGTTGAGTGACAGCAACTCTACACAAATGCTCCTTTAAAGATCAACATTGGGGGGTCTGGTGGGTGGCGTGGTGGTTGACATGCTGGGTTCTCACACAGCCGACCACAGTTTGAGTCCCAGACCCGGTGGCTTGCTTTCTCACTTTCCTTCTCTCTCTGTTTCTCTCTGGTGAGCATGTATGCCCTATAACAAATTAAATAATAATAAAATAGGGACCAGCAGCTGGTGTAATGGCTATGTCGCTGGACTCCCATGTAGCTGACCACTGTTCGAGTCCCAGACCCAGTGGCTTAAACTCATGGTGGGCACATGTGCGTGCGTGCCCAAAATCCCGAGAGGAGAATGGAGGAGAAGGGACTGTGGTGTGGCCATCCCCCCTGGGGGGTGATTTCTTGCTTTCTATCTCTCTGTCTGTCTGGCGAGCGCATGCACCCTATAGCAAAAACTTCTCCAAATAAATAAATAAAATAAATGATTCTTTAAGAAAACAAAAAAACTAAAACAGCATTGGGTGGGCTGGATGGTGGTGCAGGGGTAAAACGTGAAGCTCTGTCAAGCTGACCTACATCAGATGGTTCTGAGTTTGCTTCTGGAGACCCCGATGGGAACACCTGGCACGTGTATGCCTGTGACCAGGGCCGGCTAAGGC